GGGGAGATGGAACAGAACTCCATCTCAGCTGCAAAACGAGAAAAATAATGAATAATATTATACAGGCTTACCAGTTTGCTCAGCTGGACCGATGCACTGTGAAATCATTTCACTTCTGTGAAATTTACTCCTGCCACAATTCTCTTGCTGATACCTTTCTGAGACTCGGAAAAAGTCAGTCCTATTAATCCAGTCAGGCTTTTGTGCCTCTGTCATTTCTTCATTTGTGCAGGTATGTCTCACCTTTGAAGGCGGGGAGGGGGGGAAGCAACTGTATATAAGATTATATTTATACTCATTTATCAAACCAGCATTTTCTTGTGTGTGTATTCCATGCAGGACAATATTAAGCACTTCGAGAAAGGAGTTCAAGTATGCAGGATACTGGACAGATTTGCTTAGCCTACAAAAACATTTGGACGTATAGGTATTTTATTCAGCTCTACAATCCTAATATGCTAAAACATAATTATTTACATTTTCAAGGCCTTTGTTAGATTGGATTAGAATACTCAATTTTTAACAGGAACAATTCCTGCTCTTAGTTTTTCAGTTCCTGAATTCAGGAATTTTAGCTATTTGGAGACTGCAAAAGCAAGAGACAGGGACTGTAGGCAACAGTTATTTTTCTAAGATGGCTCTGTTCAAAAAAAAAAAAAAGAAAAAAAAAAGAGAGAAGGAGGGCAAAAGGAGCTTCTTTAGAAACTCAAAAATAAACTTGGATTTTTCTTCTGTTACCCAGAAACAAGCAAAATTACAAGTCAAGGGTGCAGCTGAAAAAACAATTTCCTAACATGTACACATAAAAAGACAAACTTAAAAAAATAATCTATTCAAAATGCTTGTGATATCCTTTGAGGTACTGCTTAAGTATTTTTAATACAAGAGCTGTTTTATGCATATAGCTGCATTTCTAGAGCTGAAGAAAACTATACCTGCCTAGATATTTCAGACAACATAACTATTTCGATAGGCCTTATGTTCAGAGACCGTGCACAGAAGTCCATACTATATCTGTTCGACTGAACAAAATGGCGCTCTTGAGGCTTACAGAAAAAAACTACTGATTACAAATCACAAGTCCTAATTAAAATTTTCATTATGGTAAATCACCAAAAACTATCAAAACTCCATGGGATACTTTGCTAATTGGTAGCATTCATACTTAAGTTTGAATGCTTACTAGTTGACTCACCATGCAAAGCATTTATAAATTAAATTATTTACCTGCTTGTTCAGAAATCCTTTCAAAGCCTCTTGCTGTCTCTGCATCTGTTCCTTCAATTTATCTTGCTTTTGTAAAAGTAGTTGTTCTTGTATTTTCTGTCTAGAAAGAAGAGCTTCTCTTTGTGCATCTAGCTGCTCTTGCAATTCTTTCAAATACTTTTGCTGAGCTTGGATGCTTTCTGATGAGGCCAACACTCTGTCCCTTAAATTCAGTATACCAGAATAATTTAACAAAGACGCATCTCCCGTTTTTGGTATCAAGAATTCCTCAACACCCTGGGCTTTAGATTCTTCATGAGATAAAATCATGGCTTCAGAAAGATTAAGGGGTTGTTCAAAGCTTGTTTTGATGGTGCTCTCTGCAGATCCCTGCCGATACAAAGAATCAACTGAGGCTGCCTGAACTATATGAGATCCCTTTGTCGCTGGCATGAGGGGTGTCTTAAGTGAAGGCTCTTTTCCAGCTTCTGTCTCTGTTTGATGGTTAGACATCTTCTGAGATGACTCTTTAAAGTGCACTGTTTCTGAAGGCTCAGAGGAATCTTCTGCAGGCAAAACAAATCTAACACGTTGTACGCGTGCTTCCGGTTGTGTTCTTACTGCAGTGACATCTTTCATGACTAACCCCGAAGGTAATTGGAACTGAGACGGTTCTGTGATGTGATTATTGGAGGCTTCCAACATTCCCACTTGTTCCTGTGAGAGACAGCCACATGGCAAGCAAAACTCTCCATATTTAGATTTCGATGCTTCTAAAAACTGCACATGTCTGCCAGGACAAACGTTACGCGTTTGCTCTTCATGTTTCTGTGAAGATGGTTTTTCCACCATACACAATGTTCCTGAAAACACAGGTAGTGACAGTGCATGCTCTTGTGCACATACTTGTTCAGATGACTGGTATTGTGTTGGTTGCACTCCTTGCCTCTGTAGAATTGGTTCTAAGACAGGCTTCAAATCAATTGATTTTGTTTCCACAGAGCCCGGAAGTGTTGCAGAAGTAGATAAGTATCTTTGCTTCAATTTATTCTGATACTCCTGTAGATGCTTTCTAGCTTCTTCAATGGTCTGTTTGTGCAGCCTGAACAGAACAAAAACATCAACCTTTCCAGAGTGGTGCAAAACCAAACATCAATTTCAATAATCAAAGCAATTCAAATTATTTTGAAACAGGCAACTCAGACTTCCATTTCATAAAGGAATTTACCTATTTTGCTGCAAAAGGCGTTGTTGATAATTACGAATCATCTGTAAATGGCTGTCTTCTCTAGGACTCCTGGTTTCTGATACAGTAGCATTTCCAGTCTAATCAAAATAAAATAATTTTAAATGCACATATACAAATAACTCACAGAAGACTATTAAAGCAACAACCTACATTCTGTCTCCTAAGTTTACAGAAGCCACTCTGTACCACCCTTTGAAGTCTGTGAGATTTCAGCCTGAGGCAGTGAAGCTAAAGCAGTTTCTGGAACAGATGGCCTACAGCTACAGTCTCTCTTAGCAAGTCGAGCACACACCGTCAAAGTCAATGGTGCTTACAGCAGCTTAGCTCAAAGCGGTAAATGTACCCACTAGCAAACTCAGGGAGCAATGATCCAACAGAGCTGCATTTTCAAGGTAATCAGATTCTCAGAGGAGTACAGGTTGTGCAAATGATTCAAGATTTTAAAAGAGATTACTTTCCTTCAACATCCTCAATAAATTCCTCTCCTTTAAGTAGCTGTTTGAGATTTAGACAGACAAAAACACAGAGGTGGGGTTTTTTGTCTTCCCCCCCCAAGATTTTTTTTTCTTCTTGAAAAAGGATATGTGTACATGCATAATTATTATATGACTCTAATCAGATTTTACTAACAGGTATTTTTAACAGACATGCTGTCCCTGGGACTATGCAAAGACAATCCAATATTCAAAGTCCAGTGATATCATGTGAAATACAAGTTTCTATATCAGACAAAAGGAAGCTTTTGTATGTACGACCTTCTGATTCATAGCCTAAGAAATAAAAATTGATTGATTGTGTTGATTGATATAATTTAAAATTAATAAATGGTGCTCTTGATTTTTATAATAAGGTTCATTAAAAAACCACACACAATTTTCTACAATTCTTCACCTCATATTCCACTTTAGTCTGCTGATCTGTAGAAGGAACACTGTGGCTTTGTACCAGCTGACCTTGCTCTTCCTCCTCTTTTTTTTTCTTAGCCTCCTCCAAACAGGGTTGCATTTGGATCTTCAGAAAATCAGCCTCCAAACGTGCTCTCTCTTCTTCAATTTGTTTAAGCAAGGCCAGCTGTTCCTGTTTCTGTTGCTCTATTTGCTTGTTCTATTGAGAAGAAAAATTAGGGTGCATCTCCAGAATGGAATGACAAAGAAATCAAAGACCCCTCACACATACCACCATACACAAAACTTTGCTCCAACTTACAGCAGAAATTTTATCGCTTGTGACAGGCATTTGCAAATTTTAAGAGGCCTTTAAAAATAGTTCCGAAGTTTACAAGAGTAATTTTATTTTAGTGGCTAGATATTTCTAATAGTCCCTGAATCCATTTACTATTGCACTATTATCTGTTCTCAAATTAATAGAATGGATAAAATCAGAATCTAACCATTCAAGATACACTAATTTTCCAGAAACTGCAAAAGAAGTCCTTTTCTTAAATTGAATTCAGAAATCTACTTTGCATTTTATAGAGCTTTTCATCATGAGTTCAACACATTTAAATGTTAATTCAGGCCTTACAGAACTTCTGAAATAGCTAATGTATAACCACTTTAAGAGCACTCCATAAATCTCTGAAGTGGTTTGTTTATTTTTATTCTCTTTCCATGTACTTATCAGCTACAAATCACTTAGATCCACATGTAGCAACAGCATATATACTTTTGGAATGGAAGTGAAGAAAAATTTCAAAGTACTGGCAAAGGTGAACTTGACAAAAGCCTTTAATGAACCAGTCTGAATGGTGATGTCAGGAAGAGCTACCCGAGAAAAAGCTAGACCTGAGAATAGTTAATGTGGATATAGCAATACATACACCTGGGCAGGTGCAAAGTGGGAGAAAATGCACCTTAAAGAAAGTAATCCTTTCACAGAGGATCTGCTCTTTTATTTTTTCCCCTAAAACAGTATTATTTTGTCAAATTTTTGTTTCCTGAATTTCTGAACTTTAACTCTACAATTTAAGGCTGCACCAAGACCCGAATTTCAACTTTCTTTTTTTTTTTAAAATTGATAAGCCACCATGTAATAGCTGGTAGGTCTCTAAGGATACAACAAAACTGAAAATATAATGAAACATATACACAATACATATAATGAAATAATACAAAAAGTTATTATTTTCTAAATATAATAAACGTAGCATTCCCATAGACACAAAAGACTTTCTCCATTTGTTTCCTAGTTAATTAAAAAAAACAAAACCAAAAACCCTCAAGGTTTGTAAACTTTTCCAGTCACTAAACACAGTCCGACAGACCTTGCTATGTTATTACACAGGGTTAGTAAAGTTTTCAGAGTTGTGTATTGTTGACTACATCCTCCCTAAAGCAAAGGTATTAATCTACACTTGGGATTCTCATTTAATCATAGGGTGGCATCTCTTTCCTACAGCACTTGTTAGATTTTAAGAAACTGGGTTTTTCCACTCTGTTCTAACTTCCAGCTAGAGCTTAGTAATTTTTAAAAAGTTAATACACAGAGGTTATGTATAGAAAATGTTACAGAAAAAGTTTATTTAAGTGTCACAAGCATGTTAAAAGGATCTAGAGCTGCTATATAACCTGAAGCATTTTACAGTCTTCTGTAAACCACTTTTTTTTTTTACACCATAACTGAGATAGGAATAAGTATACACACCCACTTACCCACTTTTGTCTCTCCTCTTGCATTCTAATTTTAGCTGCTTGTTCTTGAGGATGGATTAGAACTGAATTTTCAGCTGCAACTGTATTTTCCAACATTTCCACAGAGTCTAAAATACACATGTTATTTAACTGTAATTGCAGTCAGAAAGGGCCTTGGATCTTCTTTACATCTTGCTTTACAGCTTTCACAACCTCTCTAAACAAAATGCATAGGCTGCTCTTGAAAAGATTACTGTCTCTGTCCCACTACTCTGCCTGTCTCCATAAACCAGAAAATCAGTTTTTTGTATCATTTAAGCCTTTAATGGCCCTTTATTATGTGGTGTTCTTGAATATATAGTAATGGCTCAGCTCCAACAGGACTGAAGATTGCTTCCACCCAGATTCCTTGGTAGCCTAATAGCAAGATCATCCTGAGGAATAAAGAGCCACACATTAACCTCTTGGAACAAAGAGGGTATAAAACGGGCACTCTCTGGGCAAATGATCTAACATTTCACTATTCCACAAAAACCAAGTCTTCATCCTGTACTGTCAGCTTCAAATAGCAGCACATTTTCCCCAGAGGCATGTTTTCACTCATGCTGCACTCACTAGTCCCCAGGAATTATGCTGGTGTATCCATGTACACCATTGAACTGTATCGCTTAATCTCATTTGAAAAAAAACACAAGCACCCTATGAAAGCAAAAAAAAAAAAACCACAACCCACCACAACTTAATCACTTTAATAGACTTCAGAAATCCCACTTAGCATACAAGTTCACCAACTTCGGCACTAGCATAACCAAAAGAGCACAAAGGATAGAAATGGGAAGTAACCCCAAAATGATCTGGCTACCAAACAAAATGGAATGTCTAATTGCTATAAATTCCAGTTTTACAAAGAGGCTTTTCAGAATGGTGCCTAGAAGCAGAAAAAAAAAACCCCATTATTTCAGATATATCAGCTCATGCTTGTCTTGTGCATTTCTAGCTGTGAATCTCTGAAGCACCTGGCTTTTCCAGTTCAACAGGTACAGTACTTCAATGCCCAATTTTGTGCTGAGAATTCCACTCCTGGAGACAAACACCTATTAAAGTATGGCAACATCAAGCACGACAACAATCTGGGTGAGATTTAAAAGATACAAAGGTATTTTGGACATCTTTCCTCCACAAAATCTTAATGGGCAAGTTGGACATAAGAGCAAAACCTCTCCTATTTGTGGTTTCAACAAATCAATAATGCACTGTGGGCAAAGATAGGAGAATTGTACTTTCTGGTAACATGACAAAACACCACCAAGGAAAATTCATTAAACAGTTTTGTTACGGTCCACCTTACAAGTCTTTTTGCTCCTACACAACAAATTTTGATGCAAGTATGTATTACATACCTTTGGCTTCACCTACTGTATTTTTCTGTTGCTCATAGTTAAGTTCGGAATCACATAATGGTCTCTCTTCACTAGCAATTGTGCCTGATTCAATAGTCTCAATTTCACTTTGAATCTCTTTCTCACTTTTTGACGTCCACTCCTCTTTTTGGCTTCTAATCTTGTTCAGCAATTTCTTTAAGGCAAGTTTTGACTGAGGTTGGTGAGTATTTGCTTCTTCATGATCTATAAAAAAATATACACTGTTAAAGAGTTTTGGGTAATGAATATCTTCATATCATAAAAACAAAAAAACCTGTTGTTTTTTTTTTTAATTGGTTACATAGTTGGACAAATAGCTCAGGTATATTACCAAGTTTTAAAAGCTTAACAATATTTTCTCTTACCTGCAAGAGAAAAGCAGTAATTTGTCTCTGCACGCTATAAAAGGAGGACTAGGCTAGTTGTAGTGTTTCACAGTCAGACTACTCCTAGACTGTACTGTTGCAGAAATAAGCAGTACTATCCTCCCACCCACCTGCTTTATATTAGCACCGGCAACACAATGCATCTCAGACCAAAAACCGGATTGTGCCAGCAAAGGGATCTGGCAGAAATGCTTGGCCAAGCAGCAAAGTTCACTTACATACTTCTTGTTCACACCACGTTACCCTCTACATGCCACAAGCAAAGAGTACACACACACACCCCCCCACACCTGCTGCAGCCTGCTCACAATATGGAGCAACTCAATCACCAATCTGAACATAAAGGACACACAGTAAGTAGACTTTCATAGAAAGTGAAGCTTTAACTTTGAAATATTTCAAAACACAAAATGAAAAATATTTTAAGTTCACATACCAGCATCATCCCATAGTTTACACTAATCATATAGAACTTATTATGGCTACTAACAATGTAGTTCTTAGAACAATTAAAAATTATTCTCAGTATATTAATGAACTGAAGTATATCAGAAAAAGAAGTCACATTTTCATTTTTAAATTCATAATCATTAGAGTATTATCATCCATGATAAACATCATAAACCACTTGATACTGAAATACTTCACAGGCATTAAGGAATTTTAGTACTTAAGACATTTTAGTTTAATATTAAAGTTAATTTATTTGATATATTAAACTAAAAACTCTTCTCTTCTACTACAAAACCAAAAAGTTTAAGCTAAGTTTTAAAAGCTAAAGTTTAAAAGCTTTACTTTCTGATTCATTGGGCTCCTCCTCTTCTATCATCTGTCCCAACTCTTGTTGAGTATCACAAGCAGATTCTTGCTCCAAAGAGATATCGAGATCATTATCTTGAGATCTATCAGAAGGGGCTGGAAAAGGTTGTGGCTCAAACTGCAAAATCAGGTCTCCTTTCATTTCTAATTAAAAGAACACAACCACATAAAATGACCACTTGGAATAAAAAGCAAACAACATTGCAAGACCACACTCATCATACAAATCCCTAAGAAGTTCAAATATTAATAACTTGTTTCACAACAGATTTAATCCAACTATTTTTATTCCCAAAATAGAAGATTCAAAACTGTTTAGATCATTAGCCATCTATTAATTCAGAAATTCTACAGGGTTTTCCACTAGAGTAAGCTATGACTTTCAGAATAAAAGTTCATGCGATAAAAGGCTCATCTTTACACAAAAAGCAGCACACGGAAACAATTACATGCAGGAGGATCCCAATAACTTCATCAGGGAAAAGACACACCCTGACCTGGCTGCTCACAGGGCTGTCACAGGAGAGTGATTGATCACATGCTCCAGGTGCAAAATCCTAGAAGACTAGTCAACAGGACTTCCCCCACAATCACCTTACCAACTGAGGGGGGTACTGCCTACAAGGGGCATGTGACACATGGGAAGATGACCTTGGGATTGTACGCTTATTATAGATATTTGAGGGAGGAACCAACGGCAGGGAAAGGAAAGGATCAAGTTAGTCTGGGGAGGAACAAGTGTGAAGAAAAAATGTAAGAATAAGGGGATAAAAGGGGCCAGTCAGTACACTTGTCTGCCATGCACTGTGCCTGACAGTCTGTCCTCACTAAATTCCATTTCTAGCTGTTTTCCTAGGTGAGGAACACTATTTTGTATGCATGTGTGTGTATAGATATATAAGGGCCAGCAACTGGAGTGGGGACCAAAAGTCACATGGGCATCTGTGTCCACAGCACTGCCGACAACTGCAGAGACCGGAATGAGTGCATATTATGTGGGTATGAGTATCAGCATGCAGTGGCTAGCAAATTGCAAGCCAGACTAGCCAGCGAGAACAACTAGAGGCTTAGGAGCTAGGTATCTATCAGCCATAAGGCTGGGCTGGATACTGGAGAGGCCAGGGGATCTGCGAGTTGGCTAGTGGAGGGATCGGGAGATCCTACAGGGGAGACCGTGGGGTCTTGGGGTCAACTAAGAAACCTGCTGGCACACATGCGTGTGTCTCAGAGACTATTGGAGACAAGAGGATCCAGGGTCAGCTACTGGGTAGACTGAGTATTTCAGGTCAGTTACTGCAGGCATCCATAGCATTTGCATGCCAGTGCGTACACTCGCATATCCAACTGGGCCTGTGTAGCAAGAGGCCTTGGGGGTTCACATGCCCAGGAGGTAGCAACTGGGGAGACTAAGTATCAAGGGCCAGCTGCTAGGTAGAGTGCGTGTCTAAAGCCACTTACTGAGTGATCCATAGCACATACTTGAGCATACCAGCGCATATGTGGATATGCAAGGTAACTGGAAGGCTACAGGGTCCAGGATGAATTACTGGATAGACTGGGTGTCTAAGACCTGTTACTGGGGGATCCATAGCGTGACAGGGGGAGACCTGGGATGTAGGGGACAGCTACTGGGTAGACTTGAGTGTCTAAGACCAACTGCTGTCTAAGACCAACCATACTGTATATACAGACGTATATCCACTAACAGGCCTTCATCCTGATCAGCCAGAGCAGTGAACAGGATGAGATCATTTGTGCTGTTTGTGTTTAATGTGAGTGCTGTATTTTCTGTGTTGGCCTGTGTGTATGTGTACTGAAAGCCTGCTCGTGTGTGTGCCGACTGTGAATACACACGCAGCCTTGCTACCGACTGGACCTGGGAACAGGTAGCTGCAGCAGCCTCTCCTCTACGGGGCTACCAGATCAGCTACCTCCAGCAAATTACTTACTCCTGTCTTCACTGTACATATCTTCAAATGCAAACTCCAATTCTCTCTGCCATTCTTCTTTTATTTCCATGCGTTTGTATGCAGGCACAAAAAGTTGAGGTGGCATCTGTGCTACAATTTGTCTTCTGCGCATCCGGTCCATATTCTGCATTTGCTCCAGTTCTTTCAGCAGCCTCTCCCTGTTCTTCAAGTATTAAAGAAGGGATAACAAACATTTAGTCTTCACATTCAGCCAGCCATGTCAGGACTGATAAACAGTCCATTTGGTTACCATGAAGTTTGTTTCATCCTTAATGTTTAAAGTTAATTTTATTCTAGGGAGAAGGTGCTTCCTTGGGAGAAGGCTGTATCTGACCTTTAAACACAGGAGTCATCAATGCTACCTAGAAGATCTAATGTTAAATAAAGGATCAGACTGTACACCTATAGGCCAACTTTCCTCAACAGAATTAAATCTTCTGTTTTGTAAGGTAAATGAGTACTTCCTTTGGCAAGTTACTTTTGTTAGTATGTACTTCAGCAATTGCTACTTTTTAAGACGTGAACTAAATACTCTTGGCACTCTAAAATTATATATGAAAGTTATTTTTAAAAAGTTTTATTTGAAGTTTGGTTGGGTTTTTTTCCTGTTAACTTAAGGAGCATCAGTAATATTTCCACAGTTCCCCATTTCAGTTAGGTTACTCATTCAGGGCCAATCATATCTCAACTGAAAAACAGGAAGCTTTTGCTATTTCTAGCCTCCAAAAATACTTGTGAAGGTAACGGACAATAAAACAAATTTCAGAGCATACCTCTAGGTACAAAGACCTTTTTCAATAGTTCAGTTTTTACTTCTTAAAGGAAACAATTCCAATATTTCCAGACTTATACACTAACAGAACCTCAGTCTTTAAGTAAAAACTTTGAAAAGTTTTCCAAAAAATAAACTGTTGCCTTCTTAATAATAAACTATTTTTTTCCCTGAAGCACAGAATAACCAACTCCAACTAAAGCTGATGTGCAAAAGCAGAGTTCATCATCTATTAAAAAAGTTTACCTTGATTGTTACCAATTGGTTAATAGCTGGTCAAACATTGATAACAAAAATTAAAGGATGTTTTTCTAAAGGTTGGTCTTAATCTGTGTGCTTTCATTCTCCCTCCTTCCAGATAACCAAAATAAGCAAACAGTTTGATGGTTTTTAATGCATTCTGAAAACTCCATTTAGTCCATCAGTTTTACTCCTGTAACTGTAATTCCTTATCAGCCACCTACAACTTACTTAACACTGGTCATTTTGACATTAAAACCAGGCACAACTACTTTGCCTACCTGAGCCAAATGGACCTTCTTCAAGGCATGACTTCCTCTGAGATGTGCCTTTTCAAGCTGCTCTCTTCTCTCCCTCTCTGCCTCTCTGTGTAGTTCCTCCAAACGCTTCCCTTCTTCTTCAGCAGCTAACCGAGCATCTGGCTGACAGTCAATCAATAGTTTAGCCCATAAAGTTCTTTGTGGTAGTTTAAAGCATATGTAACAATAAATAAATGAATAATTATGTAGCAAAAGCACTTAAAAAAAAAAAGGTATACAATGCCATATGAGCATCCTTAAAGGTTTACAATTCTTGGTTGCAAGCAGGACCAAACGAGTTTTTTACCTTTGAAAAAAAAAAAGTGCATATTTACATATTCCATAAGTGCAGGTGTCAAAGTGTTCTAATTTCAAGACATACTAGGGACAATCATTTGTATGATTTATTTGTTATAGCATAGTGGTTATTTTTCCTACAATACAAGGCAAAAAGAATAATACAGTCGATATTACAGATTGACTACTTCTATCCTCATGGTTTCGTTTTAAACACGGGGTGGGGTGGGGGAATCCAAAAATGTTGTCATTCTCATTTGGGAAACCAGAAACAATCTGCAATTTTTAAGTAAGAAATTTTTTTTTTAAAATAATTTTTAAATAAGAAAAATAACACATGAAAATTAAAAAATACTCAAGTAAAAAAAAAAATTAAAAATCATTACACATAAGCAAGGCTACAAAGATTAACATTTTGGAGTTTTCCATTACAAAGCTAAGCAAACTACAGTATCTTCTCTTATTGTTTAGGCGTAGTTCTTCAAATGTTAAGAAAACCCAAAACTTCATGAATGAAAATTTTGTGCATACACTGAAGAAAATATTCACAAAAACAAATTTATTGAGAGCTTTTCTAGTCTAAAAGAGGCTGAGCCAGAACAGGAACTTAGATTGTGGTCTCACATCACCGATAAACCAAACTATTGTTTGGTTCACTTTTCAATAGCACTACCTTAATTCAAAAATCACCTCTAAAAGCTAAGCTCTTCCTCCATATCTCACTTTTTCAGGTCCCCCCCTTCTTCTGATCTGACTTTGCCCTTTGTCCAAGCGTACTGTAAATTTGAGTAAACTTTCCCATTTGGCAAAAATCTATTCATCATTCTTTTTCTGAAATTAGACTTCTGCCATTTTGGCAAGCTGACACCATTGACTGCATGAACAGATGAACACAAATACAAGGTAAAGCTGGGAGTACACAGCTAAAGAGGGGAAGAGATAAAAGCAGGGCAACTGCAGCTATTAATTTAGCAGAAGCCACAAAGCAGATGATTTTGGTGTCCTAATGTTATGCCGGCCTTGTGAACTCACCTCCTTACAGAGCTCTGTTCATGCGGGACTGTCAGGTGTGATCCCGCAAGTGACTGAGCACGTAACAGGCCGTACAAGTTTCCCCATCTAAGATTCTGATTACTAAGTGTAATAGCTGCTTTACACAAGTTCACATTTTTAAACAAGTTCTAGAAAACTGAATTGCTGATATCCAAACACTGTATGCAATATAAAGAAAGATATATGGAAGCGTGTATCACAAAGACTTGGAGTTAATCACCTGCTCTCCATCCACTTCTCTGTCCACATAAGGTTCGGAAATATGATAACGTGTAACAGAAAAGTTGTCAGCACTATAGGGCTTCACTGCAGGAGTCTTTTTCACTTCAAAATTCTAGGAAGAAACGTACAAGTACAGCTGTATCAGAGAACAGTATCTCTAGCAAAGCAATTAAACAGAACATAAGTGATCTGTACACTTAAATTAGTATTAAAAGAAAGCCACCCCCCCAAATTCTCTCCTGAAAATATTGTTGTCTAAAACTTTATATAAATTTAATAATTAATGAATCACATCAGCACAAGGCAGATCTAGAGGGCTTAACAACTGAGAGCATCTAACAGCCTAAGGCAAACTCCTCCACACAAATTGACATTCATCAGAGAGCTCTACCTTCATGTTTCAAAAGCATTACCTTAATTTAAAAGCACTTGAGGTTAATGTACTAATACAAATCCCACTTAGAACAGCTGTCACACTCACCTCAAAGCAGGGCAGATCCACAATATAACTATACCTAACAGCAAAATAACCCTTCTCAAGTACAGACTTTCTTTACAAAACTCAGAACCATTATGTCCAATTTATTAGTTAACCAGAGAAAAAAGCATTTTCCGTAACTTCCCTGAAAAGTGTTGTC